GGTACGCGGACCTCTCACTGTTGTGGCCTCTCCCGTTGCTGAGCACAGGTTCCGGACGCGCAGGCTCAGCAGCCATGGCTCAACGGGCCCAGCCGCTCCGCGGCACGTGGGATCTTCCTGGACCAGGGCACAAACCCGTGTCCCCTGCATCGGCAGGTGGACTCTCAACCACTGCGCCACCAGGGAAGCCCTCTACCAGTTATTTTTTAAAAAATATATGTTGGTGGCTTGGGGAGTCACAAGGACTGGGTGGCACTACGGCATTTAGTGGGCAACCGTCAGGGATGTTGAACGTTCTTCAGTGCCCAGGATACACCCTCCCTCCTCCTTTGAGAAATGTTGATTAGAAGAATTACAAATTCCTTTTCAGGGCCAAATTTTATGAGATTTATTTGTTTTAAGAAGTTTTAGTTAGCAACAGCTCTATTTACCTAAAACACACTGAAACATCTTTTCCTCCCTACCCTAAGTAGTTAATAATATAATTCACAACCAAATACTGACGTTTTAGGATCACCAGGCAAGATTTAAAAGAGGGTAAGGAGGGCTTCCCTGGTGGCGCAGTGGTTGAGAGTCCGCCTGGCGAGGCAGGGCACACGGGTTCGTGCCCCGGTTCGGGAAGATCCCACATGCCGCGGAGCGGCTGGGCCCGTGAGCCATGGCCGCTGAACCTGCGGGAGAGGCCACAACAGTAAGAGGCCCGCGTACCGCAAAAAAAAAAAAAAAAAAGAGGGTAAGGAAAACAAAACAAAAAAACAAAGAACTTGTTTTTAATGCACGAATATAAAGAGACTTGCTTCAATAAAATTCAAATGATTTAAGGAATTTAAGGGGAAAAAAAAATGTCATGAAGAACCTAGGGGTAAGACAGGAATAAAGACTCAGACCTACTGGAGAACGGACTTGAGGATATGGGGAGGGGGAAGGGTGAGCTCTGACAGGGCGAGAGAGAGTCATGGACATATACACACTAACAAACGTAGTAAGGTAGATAGCTAGGGGGAAGCAGCCGCAAGGCACAGGGATATTAGCTCGGTGCTTTGTGACAGCCTGGAGGGGTGGGATAGGGAGAGTGGGAGGGAGGGAGACGCAAGAGGGAAGACATATGGGAACATATGTATATGTATAACTGATTCACTTTGTTATAAAGCAGAAACTAACACACCATTGTAAAGCAATTATACCCCAATAAAGATGTTTAAAAAAAAAAAAAAATTCAAATGATTTGATGTTGGTATTCTAGCTACCCAAGACTCCATTAATGGAGTTACAGATTTAGTTTCTACAGCCTTTAGTGTTTTTTCCTACCTCTACTAGAACAGACTTAGGTACATTTAGGTACATTTTCATCAAAAGTAAAATATTACTTATAACAGCTATCAGAAATATTTAGTCTTCAAGGAAAAAGGTTAATGAATGTCTAAACAGTTAAAAAATTTAACAGACCTTTAATTATTGATGCAAAATATTTAACTTTGATAAGAAAGATGTGAATAACTTTTGGCTTTTGACTTAATAGCAAGTTTTGGGAAACTTTGAAACCAAGGACCAAAATCAACACCTAGGTTTTAATTAGCTGTGACATTTCCATGCACAGAATTTCTATGCACAGAATTGTTGATAGTAATTATAAAGGATATTCTGAATTCGCCAACTAGGTTGTTTATTACCTTCTTTAAGTCTCAAAAGATACACCTTTTAATCCAAATCTCTAGTTCCAGTTATTTTATTTACACCCAACGTGTTTTTAATCCCAGTGGTCCCATCAGCACTTATTTCCAGAAACACAGATTCTAACACTACTTATTATGTCCTTTTATATAAACAGGGACAACAACATTACATAAAAGATCAGTTCATTGACCATTAGTATTCTGGAATAGAGTTTTCATTCTGAAAAACAGGAATTATAATTTTTGCGTATGTTTTCATTAGGGCTTTTACTGGAAAATATTCAAATGGCTATTATTATATAAAACAGTAAATAATTTTACAACATACAAGAAAATATTTAAACCTGAGACTCTTCATGTTTGCAAGTATAAAATCTCTAGGAAAAAGAGTGTTAATAAGAAATAATTTAATGACCTGCATAATACTCAAGCATCAACTTTCTTTAATACAGTGTGAAAACATTCCTAATATGATTCCTTAAAAACAAACAAAAGCCCTCCTTTTTTCGAAGTCAGTAAATATCAGCTAATTCTTATTGGCACTGGATGTCACTTCATGATTTGTTACAAATTACTAATCAATGCTGTAAAATAATATGTCAACGATATATAGTTTTTAGGGAGGGGCAAGATAAGGGTATGGGATTAAGAGATACAAACTACTATGTATAAAACAAATAAACAACAAGAATACATTGTACAGCACAGGGAAATAGTCATTATCATATAATAACTTTAAATGGAGTATAAGCTTTAAAAATGTTGAATCACTGCTATACACCTGAAACTAATATTGTAAGTCAACGTAAAATAAAAACTTCAATAAAAATTTTTAAAAGATACATAGTTTTTAAATGTTAAAGAATAAAAAATCAGATAAAAAGAAACAATGCATAACTAATTATTTAATTTCCTAAATTTATGTTACATGGATAATTTATTAACTTCATGTGGGATGTTAATTATTCTAAATATAATTATTCTAAAGCATCTGATAAAGAACAGAAATATAAAAGAGGCTGGTGTTTGAAGGAGGTGAGTGATAAAGTCAAGCTTATCAGATGTAAGGTGTATCTTCTACTCTAAAATGTCAAAAGACATAGGTCAACTTGACTTAAGGTAAAAAATGGTAAATACTTTCATATAGATTTGGGGAATATAGGAAAACAAATTTCACAACCATGAAAGCAATAACCTATCATTTGTTGGTGTCTGCATGGTTCAAAGGGTCAGAAAGGGGATAGTCTATATTTTTTTGGCAGATAAAATGCAATCCACCATAGAACTTCAGATTTCAAGGAAAACTCCTTCAAATTCAGCAGCTAACAGCTTGTCTCTATTTGCTGTCACTCTGGATCACAGAAACCCACACTTTTTTTTTTCCCTTTCCTGCTCCCCTTCAGTTACACTTGAGCTCTCTGACTGAAAAGGTCTGGAACAGATTAAAAGTCGGGCCACAAAATAAAAAGCTTTGGCATGTTGTCAAGCCTGTCTGGAATACACATACACAGTGGGCCCAAAAAGGGAAACTAAACGCAGTAAGAGTATTTTATGAAAACTTTTCTTGGCATAGCTAACTGTACGCTGTGTGTACATACGTGGTGAAGGTGGGAGGGAGATTATCATTATTTTTTTTGGTACTTTCTCCCATTTAAAAAAAAAGACAAGCTGTGTGTGTAATTAATGAATCTACTTAAGCTCACAGCCAAGTTGTTTTATTTCACTTTTTATTAACTGAAAATACTTAGAAAAAAAAAAAAGCTTTGTTCCAATTGCTGATTTCTACAGTTAGCTAAGGGTTAATCATCATTTCTCATAATCTCGTGTAGAGGGAAAAAAATCCCACAGTACCATTTTTTAAAATTTCCAAAACATGGACAAGCAGAATTCATTTCATTAAAGATGATTTAAGGAAACATGTCTGTTATCATTCTAGTCCATACAAATGGCAACATTTATTAAATTCTCTACCTTACTTGGTTTCCTGTTTCAACCACAAGGGCTTATTCAAGCATTAAATAGAATCTGAAGTTGCAAATTATTAACATGCCACATTACTTTTTTAACACTCAAATAGGTCTTGAAACTCAAAAGGCTAGCATTTAAGCCAAACCGGATACCTGTCAAAATGACAGTCTCTGCCCTGATCCCACCTTTGACTTGACTTGAATAGGGGATTCAATCAGTTCATAAAGCTGGCCAATCAGTAAGCTTGGGGCAAACCCAAATGTTGGGGGTTTAAAAAGGTATACATATAGATATAGGAGAACTGCTCAGAACGTTCCTGACGGGGAAGTTATTTTACCCAACCAGCTCTGGGTAGAGTTTTTCTTTCTCTTTTTCCCCCAGGACTGTGTTTTGATGGCATTCACAGAGTTAATTCCTCTTTCCCATAAGGGCCCCACAGTTGTTGTTAGGTCAACCCCTGTAAAGCTTCAAAGGTTCCGAGTTCCCTCAGTCTGACCTACTCAGTGATCTGCACATTGTTTTCATTTAGCTGCATCCAGTCCAAGACGAAAGCTTTAAAACCACAATGATCTGCTCCTTTTTAAATACATTTTTCCATGGCTTTGGAAAAATGTCTCAGAAACCCAAATGAAGAAACTGAAAACAGTGAAAAAATATGTGTAAAAAGGCCCTAAAAAAAATGTATACTATTATCAAAATATGCACATTTGGGAGGCGAGTATTTCTTTGTGCAAATGGTGATTTTTGTCATTTGATTTGGAGGGAAATATGGCTTATTTTGGGTTTGTTTCCTAAATGAAAAACAAAGGAAAAACCCCCTTTACTTAAAAAAGGGGGGGGGCAGAAGCGAAGAGAAGGAAAAAAAGGCTTTCATTGGTCTATCTCTAGGGTGACAGGGTACCCACCACCCCCCCTAGGATAGAAAACATTATAATACCCAGGCACAGGATGGTACTCATTGCTCTCTTAAGTTAAGCATAAGCAGACACCACGTTACTGACAAAAGTTGATATCCCAGGTTTTAGATGAAGCGACAGACTGATTATTTCTGTAGCTAGAAAGATCATTTTAAACACGATCACTGTGTTTCCCCAAAATGTGAAAGGAACAGTGAGTCTGGTTAGTAAACCACCACAACATTCCTCCAACCCCATCCCAAGAAGTCCAAGCTAAAAGGCCGATTTAGACCTGAATTTCTCAAGTTTAAAGTGAAAGGTATAAAAACAGTACTTGGATAAGTTGGATGGGCAGTCATTTTTTAAAATTATGAAGCAGTGCAATTTAATTTAAATGTACCTTCCCAAATTCACATACCAAAAAACAGTCATCAAAAATATCTAAAAAGATTCTGAGATGAACCTTTACCAAAACGAGGGTCAAGCCTGGGGTCTAGCCAAGAGGTGGTCTTGTTCTTATGGTTTATATAGTATATTTCTCCATCCTGAGTCATGGCTTGTTCCCATCCATCAGGAAGAGGACCTATAAATACAGAAAAAAAATCACGGTTGGTTTTTAACTTGGTGCATCTAAAAAAAAAAAAAAAAAAAAAGTGGGAGGGGTGCTAATTTAAAAAGAAAACACATTCTGACATAAAACAACTCATTAATGCAGAATTAACAATGTGCTCAGAGAAGAAAGGTAAACCTGTATACTTGATTCTTCTCCACTAAAAGGAAATTACCCAATAATAAAATCTACACCCCCAAAGACACAGATGTAAAAAAGGTCAGATTTTTAGAAAATGCTCTGGAAGTCATGACCCAAATAACTGTTATTAGTGTTAATATAAGACATGGAGTGCTACAGCTCAGGGACCATCCCCCAATCCAGTCAGTTTTGGGACAGTACCTTCCTAGAGAACCCAAAAGGTTCTTTAATAAGGAATATATGCAAGTGTTCTCAGAGTACCTACAGTATCATAAACATTCTGCTTAATATAAAGCACAGTTTAGCTAAGACTGCCAAGTACCATTTATTTCCATTATTTATGTGACTGACTCACACCAAGAAAACTGTAATAGAGAAAACATGGTTCAAAAAAGCTTATTCTTAAGCAGCCTGGAAGTTGCTAGGAGGTGGGGATTGTGGCTAGAAGTTTAAGTTTGTCAGAGACTTGGGAAGGGGGCAGAGTAAACACCACAACTGCCGGAAGGCAAAGTTCTCAGGAAGAAAAAGAGAAAAGGTACAAATTTCAAAGCTACAGAGTGAGGAAGTAATACCTGGGAGATAGGGCTAAAGAATATAGAAAGTATAAGAAGATTATTGTATCTTTATGAGGGTAGGGAGGCTAGACAGTTGCTTTTAAGAGGTAATAGCAATGAAAAGAGAGGCCCAGTATAAACCACTAAATTCAGGCATATTTCCTCATTGTCTCTCCCACTCCCCGGCTTCCACTTCCTACTCCCACCAGGAATCAGAAAAGGCAAAGGTAAATTGGGAGAGTCTGAGCAAATGCCTAAAATTTTCCATCTGTGGACCAACACGAATTGACTGCTTACTGTGTGCCAGTCCCTGTGCTAAGTATATTAGGTACATTAACTCGTTTAATCCTTACAATGACCAAGGACATAAGCAGTAGTACTATCTCCATTCTAATGGGGAAACTGAGGCACAGAGTGGTTTAGTCGGTACATCACAAAGCTAGTGTCAGAGATGATAAACTTAGCGCCTAATTCCTGAGACATTTTTCTCATAACACTTCTTTTTATTCACCTCCCACATCCAAGATCAGAGACTAAGTATGTTTCCTGTGCAAAAATGGAACAAGTTCCTTCTTTCTATACTGGCAGTCCAACACAGCCTTAAGAGTAATGCTGAAAGAGTAATTTTGGTTAAACAGACCACTCACACAGGCCCATGGGACCCAAGGCCCTAATTCTAGGCCAGTTTCATTTGTATTAGGAACAGGCCAATTTGCTCCTATAGTATTATCAAAGATCTACTTTGATGGGGTCAAAATCCTGTTAGGGAATGCAGGCATGTGGAACTGGAGTGTTCTGTACTCCTAGACAGGCCACAGCGGGAAGACCCTTCTCCAGTCCTGAATATGGAACTCTGCACACAATGCTAACCATGTCCAGAGTTGAACTTTGCTGCAGAAATCCTGTGTTTACTAAAAAGTGAATGGGAAGCAGATCTGTTTAACACATGTAAATCAAACAAACCGCTTTTCTCAGCAGCCTTCAGTGTCACTTTGGGTTCTATTTCCCCACTAGGAAGACAGAACCTCCAGAACTGAATATTAAGGGTTTGTTACTGACTTTAATTGCGAAGATGGCTCAATTGTAAAATGCTTCTGAAAAACAAGTAATTAAAATTCTAACTTCCTAAGATATCATGATGATGAACAAGTCAACAGAAGTCAATGGATGCCTTTGGAAGCATCAACCCAATGGCCCTAACAGACCTCATTATAGCCTCCAAACCTGCCTCCTGAGTAAATGGATTCCCTACTTTTTTTTTTTTTTAAACAATATCACTCTCTACCTTTGTTGTCTGAGTTAGAACCAAGAACAGTATCTTGGATACAAATCAACTTTCCCTTTCTGCTCCACCCACTCCATGCTGTAGACTCCACTTAACACTCTGACTGATCTGTTGCAGCCCGTCTCTAAGAATTCAACCATCAATAATTTTCAGCTCTTTTTCTTAACCACTACAGATCTTTGCTCCTTGGTGTCTGACTTCTTGTTTCCTCTCCTCATTCCAGTGTCTCCTATCAAACAGCCACCAGGGTTTTCTTCTTAAAATACTACCCAATCAACATTTATATGTTACTCACTGATTTTAAAAACGTTTCCCTTGCTCTCTACCATCAAAAGGAAAATGCCAGCTGGACTCATTTCTTAATAAGTCTTCCTCACACACCCAACCCTCACTCTACTTCCCCAAGTTTTCACAAAATCATGCCATCTCCTTATATGTACTATTCGTGCTATCACAGACAGCCTTCTGCCCCATCTCTTATAAACTCTTATTCACCTTAAAAGAGAAAGCTCAGATGTCACCCCTTTGATTCAGCCTTCCCTGATTACCCCACATAAAATCATTAACTTCCTCTTCTACTCTGTATTAATGTTTTAACAGATAGAGCTGTATTTATTTGCTTACATGTCTGCCTTCCTGACAATGACCAGGCCACTTATCTTTTAACTCGTGTCCAGTATCTGAGTAATTGCTCACTAGATATTTAATGGAAGAATGAACATCCTGCCTTCTAATACTTTGAACTTTCTATAAACAAGCTTAAAATCATATAGTACATATATGGGGTTGGCCAAGAAGTTCGTTTGGGTTTTCCCGTAAGATGTATACAGAAGATAAATATCACAAATATATCAAAAACTTCAAATTGTCTATGCATTCACACACTGACATGAGCCACAAACGTTCCTTCACAGCGACTGTACTCATTAGCCTATCACAGAACCAGATTTTGTCATAAACTATAAAACTTTTAATACAAAATCGTATTTATATATTTATAATTCATATACATGCCCTATCTGTGATTTTAAAAAATAAAAGCTACACACTGTACAGACACTCTTAACTCATAGCTGTAGGCAACATTTTTGGATGGAATTTCTCCCCCAATAAAATCAACGGCATATTTTATGTACATGAAAGCTAAACTGCATAAAGACAGTTCAGTTTCCCAGATATGCATCTCCTTTTAGGGCAGGTTTATAAATTTTAAAAGGTGGGCTTCCCTGGTGGCTCAGTGGTTAAGAATCTGCCTGCCAATGCAGGGGACAGGGGTTCGAGCCCTGGTCTGGGAAGGTCCCACGTGCTGTGGAGCAACTAAGCCTGTGGGCCACAACTACTGAGCCTGTGCTCTAGAACCCGCGAGCCAAAACTACTGAGCCTACGTGCCACAACTACTGAAGCCCATGTACCTAGAGCCTGTGCTCCGCAACAAGAGAAGCTACCGCAATGAGAAGCCCATGCACCACAACAAAGAGTAGCCCCGCTCACCACAACTAGAGAAAGCCCACGCACAGCAACGAAGACACAACACAGCCAAAAAAAAAAAAAAAAAAAATTAAAAAGGCAAGACAAATGTACACCTCAGAATCACTTTCTTAGCTACAAGAGTTGTCATGTAATTTCTGTGAAGTTTCTGATACATGCATTTATGTAATACTGGTAATGAAGGCAGTAAAGCAATATATACTTTTAATGTCGTGGCCTAATAAAGGCTTCATTGTCATTCCAATCTGATTCTTGATATAGTGATTCATAACTTCTCTAAAAATTAAAATTTCAATGGGACACTGTGTTAAAGAGACTCTAAATAGATTTAAAATATTTCCCTGAAATATCCTTTACATAAGACAAATTTCACTAACATTAGATTAAGTAAAAAGGGAAAAAAAAGAATTAAATATGGCACAAGATGTTACGGAAAAACCCAAAACAACTTTTTTTCAATTAATAAGCTTATAAGCAGAATATGTGAATGACGTTATTAATGCAGTGTTTTTTGCACCTTAAACCTTTTGTTCATAAGTGTATTTCACTTTTACAGTTCATCTGAATTTAAAAAATGTTTAAGATTTGTAGAAATGCATAATGGAAAAGTGAAAGTTTCTTGTAATCTATTCCCTGGGGGAAAAACTGAACAACTTTAGTTTTGTGATATGTTCTCGATTTTTTTCTTGTGCACAGTTTGTGACACACATGCATAACCACTGATGTCATGCTCTACCTGAACCATACTTGCTGTATTCACTTAATATATATTATAGACATATTTTCTTAACACAACACATAAGTCTCTCTCATTCTTTTTAATGGCTTCACAGATCTTACTGCACAGATATATTAGAATTCATTTATCCCTTTTCCCAGTGTTACATATCAGAGTTCTTTGTAAATTTTTTTGCTGTTATAAATAATAGTGCAATGCACATTCTCTGGGGGGCAGCAATGGCAGCAACACCTCTACCACTAACTAGCTCCATTAGTACCATCACACACCATGTTCTTAGCCATATCATACAGATGAAACACAGTTACATTCAGACAGATCACTTGCCCAAGGTAAACAATAAAGTAAACTTCCCTAAGGTAAAGATTTAAACCCAGGCAGTCTGACTTCAGAGCTTCTGCTTTTAAACCATACAACACACCGCTTCCCAAAGATATAAATACATTCCCCAAAACTTATGCAGGTGTTTCCATACATTAAATTTGCAAACAATCAAAAACAAAGCTCTAACTAATTTTAGACATGAGGATATAAAGGAGAGACAAGCCTGGTATACAAATAAAGAGCGTAGTGATTTCTGCCTATTTTCTCATCATATTTCTAATTAAAGAATTAAATAATGTACATATGAAATAGAATAATTACTATATAATTAATTTTATAAGCACTCAAATTGATACCAAATATACATACTAAACACAAAAGAATGCTTTTATATTCACTTATGTTGTTCATTTAACATTGGATAAAAATTTAATGTTGTGTG